CCAGGATGTAAGATTCCTATGTTTAATACTTTTATCGCGTCACGTTGTACTTTCCATTATAGGATAAATATGTTTGATTCATTAGCGCGATATCATTATCGAATAACTATTCAAAAATCAAAAACATTTTCAAACGAAAGAATATTTTTTACAATTCCAATTGAATATTTGCAAAAAAGGAAAATTTCATAAACTATATCATTATTTAACATAAAAAAATTAAATAGAACCTTTTTCAGTTTTAGAAAGCATCAGATAATTAGAAAACAATTATACATTCCATATAGATTATTTCATGTGCCCATAAATGAAAATCCGAATTTCTAATAAGAGATCACTTTGCTAATAATGGTAGATAGTGAATATGTTTGTAAAATGTTTTATAGAAGTAAAGTAAGCAAGTTTTGTGGAAATGCGTCCGCAGAAATGTATCTAATTATTACACTACAAGGCGCATTGAGGCTTAGTACGATTGTTCTAAATGGATGACTAGAGCACACATTTCGACTGTCGTTTATTTATTTCGTGCTAAGTTGTATAACTATTCGCTTCTCAAAGGTTATTTTTCCCGTTGAGCATTATAAACTGCAGTGAAAGACGAACAGTTTTCTCAAAATTATATTATGCAAAGCAACATGCTACAAAATAAAAATCGAATCTTTGGTTCTAAAATAATGAATTATTTCTAAATGCGATACTGTAGCAATTGAAATCGAATTACTCAACTGGATAATGAATTACTAAAGAATATAGTAATTCAATATTTATACTATTTCTCTTTAGAAAAACTGTAATAGACTAACACCTTAACGACAGCATTATTATACTAAAAACTTATACTTAGCACTAAATATACCAGTTGTCCATTTCTTCTTCATTAGAAATGTGCAAAATAATTTGTAGTTTAGTGGACATTTTGTCCCAGTACCAATAAAATGATAGTTTTATATTTTATATCAATATTTAGAAAGACACTACGTCGAGTTTTCCGTCATTAAAGTGTTAAACCATATAAGCCATTTTAATGAAAATTATAATGCTGGAAAGATTGAATCCTTCCGATGTGGATTTAATTGGTTTCTGTAACGTCTTGCAAAGAAAGCTGCAATCACCTGAAAATATAATTATATATTCTTGACATTGATAGACAGTTGCATAATTCACAATGCTGATGTTATTCATAAACAGTGTTGATTACTATTATTAAAATGTATTAGAATTAATGAATTGTGCATATAAAGAGATATAATTTTAGATCAAAATTCAGGCATCTTCTATGTATACAGAAAATTTGTAAGACTGTTGCATGTATGACAATTATATTATAAATAATTATAACTGAAAAATGTGGAGCGAGATTATCTCTATTATATGCATATCAAAAGCAAAGTATTAAATCTTTTATTAGAATTCTTGTGAGTTAGTTGTTATAATTAATAATCTGGTCGAAAAAATTAATTGAGGTTGAAACGTGATATCTCTTTTGAGATTTTAAATATTAATTGATATTACCTTACACATAAATTATATGTGAACAACATAAATAATATGTTCATAAATATCTCAATATGAAACTTAAAAATCACAAATGAAACCACCCACCATCTATTAGGACGATCATATGAGGTGACAGAGGACATAGTGATGGTGTTAGACTAGAGAAAAGCACTAGGATTAGCTCGTGGATCTTTCTGGTTCCTGTATCGCACGGTCAACCATACACCAATAAACTGCAATATGAGTACACAAGTTAACATCAGCTCAATAACATTTTTCATTTTAACGAAAAACGTGTCACAAATGTAATGTATCATTTAAGCAGTATACATACTTTGCACACTACACTTTATAAACGAATATTGAATAGTATTTGAAAAGTCATTTTATGTAAAATTAATAGTGGATCCTTATTATATTACCTCAGTAAAGCTAAAGAACAATCCTATACTGCCACATAATTTAAATGCATAATCAATTGTAGATTGTAATATTAGCATACATGATGGACACATACAGTTATAATTGCCGGTAGGACAACAGATTTTCTGAAAATATAAAGTATTTTTTATTTTTGAAATATATGTTCTCCATTTAGTTCAAATACACTTACATTGACTACTTTGCAAGACAGTGGACCATCATTTTCTAACTCTATGCTAGTGCTATTAAAGCTGCAACAATTAAAAGTTGTCTGAACTTTCGCTTTCAAATCATCTCCAACACGTTTCCAGCCCTACAAATATTATCAAATGTCATTACTTTTATAGTAATGTAAACTAATAAAAATAATATTACCTGCTCTGCTAACTGTTCTTGTTGCTTGGTATTAACAGCAAGACAAGCACAAGCAATACTGAATTGAATTAAGAACAACAGGAATAGAATGAACATGTACTGTAAAAATAATGTTAAGGATTATATTTTTTATTTTTATGATATATCTAATTTAACGAGATTAACACTTTCAATGAAGATACATATACATTTCAAGTCAATTATTATAATACCTTGTATATAGGTAATGTTACCTAAAAAATAACTTACAACTAATCAGAT